CTGGTATTTACGTTTTTATTTCCGAGAAAGAGACGGCCCGTGATATAGGTTGTGTGTTAGACCCAGTATCTAAATGTTTAAGAAGTGTTAAAAGCTCTGGCATGGTGAAACATACAACATGCGGTACGAGCGTGAGTGCCAAATATCCCCGTGACCTTGTGAGAAAGTCGGATCGCTCAAGGCCGACCTATCAGAAATGAGGTTGTCGGTTGTCCAATTAGAAGTGAGCTAGTGTGTGTAGCGACGTGTAAATGGGAAGACCAGCATAAAATTTATGTATTATTTTTATAAATCTCAGCCAGTTATTTAACATTTTTATTCATATTAAACAACTAAGTGATTTAGGAACAAACATTATAGCACAGTGGATAAACCCAAAGAGGTTTTGCATTTTGCAGAAGATGCAGCAGATGCTGAATGTGCCACACTGGCAGTAAACGTATCTTGTTCCCCCTATCAAATATTCCTCATTGCCTTACATAAACTCAATCCAAATTCATGCAAATATTGTTTCTGTTTAGATAACTTTCTTTCTTATGCAGTCTTAAGAAAAAAAAAAGACTTAGAGGTGAGGTCAACTTTGCTGCACCAGGTTTTGTCTCAAATGATCTAGTCTCTTTCTAAAATGGCTTGTGTGAGAGCACCCCAAAAAGCATGGAATCTGTAGCTCCAGTGACAGTCCCCAGGTAAGTGACTTAACCATTTACCCACTAAGAGCATTAAAACCTCAGAATAAACTAAGCTACAGACAAATGTTATTTATACATTTGGATATCTGCTGTTTTCAGAAAATTGCCATTCCATGTTGTAATCTTCAGAATGCACTAAACTACATACCAATGTTATTAATACATTTTATATATCCGTAGTTTTCAGAAAAAATGTCATTCTAATTTATATCTTTCTACAAGCAAAATGTGTGTTAAGTTAGAGCATCATTTTAATTAAAGCGTAACTCTCTAGTTAGCTATTGCAAGCATTGGTTAAGATATGTAAAACTGACTACTACAATATCTACAACCAATAAAAGCCATATGGGTTAATATTTTCACTAAAATAAATTGCCAAAGGCATCGATTATCTGTGAGTAAACATTCATACATTGGAATAACATGTCTTTACACAGAAACTGGTATATTTCTTATCTACAGGAAATTATGTTCATATCAGATACATTTGTACAGATTATATAGACATGAAGGAGTGTATGTTGAAAACTTGATGAGAGTCTTTATTGCCAGTCTACCGAAACAGGCTATAAAGTGACAAGGATTTCTAAAACCATATTTAAGTTTAAACACATATATTTTCTATAAAAAGTTTAGACTATTGACCCACCCTAAGCACATGAAAAATAATGCTTGTAATAAATTTTCCAGACAAACTTAGGTCAGCACATAAAAAAAAAAAAAAAAAAAGAAGACACGTAATGGACCGAAATATAGTGAAACCTGGTTAACACGAACTTGCTAAAGATGAACACTTGTTAACATGAGCACAATTTTGGTCCCGCCAGGGATGTAATATTTATAAAACATCTTTCAGTTCACGTTAGCATAAATGTTTTAATCACTTTTTTCACCTAGAGATATCTCAGCTACCCAAGATTTTACTGGATCACCTATCAATCAATCAAACATCATCCCTGCATGAATGTGGACTGCAATGGATCCCTAACACTATCTACCTTCCACTTTGCAAAATTTGGTTTTATTCATCTCTTGATTGTTATCTTCATGCTTGTATCACTTTCCAACATTCACCCGACCTTAAATATGCATAAGGTAGTCCTGGAAAGTAAAGGTGGCTGGCGAGATGTTGACCGCATCATCCAGTGAGTGCCGACAAGTCTACAAAATACAGGCCTAGCCCTTATATGCCTAATGTACCTGAAGGTGTGGAAAAAGGTCTTTTTACCTTACTATACTTCCCTTTTAACTTATGGCTCATCTGCTTTCAACTTTTTCAGAGGGTTTTACCAAAGCCTACATCAAAGATTTATAAGAGATTTGTCAGCTATTTGTTTTACAGCAACAGCCGATGACAACTAAACATTTCTGACATTAAATGGTGCTAAACTTACAGTAGTGAAGGTAAACACAATGTTTACATAAAAACAGAACCAGAACGTCTAAAATACTAACTCCTGCTGTTGTTACTGGTATCACAAAAGTGAGGGTCTCGGAGTGAGCAGGAGAAATTGACAAACTGCTGCAGTGATTCAACATACAGATATTTTACAAAGAACATTATCAACAAATGTATTGTCAACTGACATCAATGATCATGCCTTTCCACAATCTGTCATCTCCAACAGCAAGTATCAGTATGTGTGCTGACACCCCTCCTTGTAATGACCAAAGGTTGTCATGAATCTTCTTGTACCCCTTAACTCTCTTTTCCCAAAAATCTTTCCAGAGGTCTCAACATATTCAAGATGCCCTCTTCTCACAATAAAAAAGTGATGACTGTCTCCTTCTCATAAAGATGCTAATGTAAAATGTTAAAAACTGTTTCATATGGTTTCCACTAGAATATGACTACAGTAATTCAATGAGAAATGTTGCATGGAGCAAAAAAAACGTGACTGTGTCTACTGGGCATAACGCATGATCACCAACATCATGTATCATTTCATGTGCTGATACCCCTTCATATCATGACAACAGTCTGTAAATAATCTTCTTGTATTGTCTCCAATTTATCTCTTCTTTTTCTTCAGTTTGTTTTACCTTTCATTATAAGGTTTTGAAGAGGAACTCAGTGCAACAGGCCCAGCAGTGAATGAAATCTTGTTCTAAGAAAAAAATGAAAGCTGGACCGATCCTTTACCCTTTTCCACAAATATCCAGTGGTCACAACGCATTCCAACTTCTCTCTTCTCATAATATGGCCAAACAATGAATTCTCCTTTGATAAAGGTGCTAATCTAAAATACTAAAAACTTCTTCATGCAGTTACCATATACAGGATCAACTACAGCTGTTCAATGAGGAATGTTGTTTGGAGCAAGAAAGTGTGACAACATCTGCTTGCTATTTCATGACACAACTGATTTATTTTAAAACATGAAAAATATAGGAAAGAGGCTAACAATGTTCTTATGTAGAAATCAGGTGATATGGTTGTCTTCATGATCTTATGCAAAACATGAAAGATTTTTTTTTTAAAACCATCTTGGATACATCATAATCTGTTTTCATGCATCTTTAACAGAGTCTAACAGGAAATGCCAAAAAAGAGATACTGCTTAGAAAAATTATGTGACTTCATACGTCAAATACGAGCCCTGCAGTAAGGGTCAGAAATATTTCTTTTGGTAGGAAAAATGTAGTTTGTGGCAACTGCAAAAGCCATGTGACCCTAAATCAGCGCTATTCAGTTATGTTTATTCATGGGTCAAAATGTTGAAAATGTGAATCGTCATGAAGGCCCGATCTCCATCATTGAAAGATTGCCAATATATTATTACAGCTGGCAATAATCTGCAGGCTGCTGGCTAGGCCTCTACGTACCAGATTTGGCCGGCAGACAGCCCTGTCCCAAATCCTCAAACTCAAGAACCCCTCATCATCATCATCAGGTGCCTTGCCGACTGGCGTGGGCGATCATGCCTCTCCATAATCTGTGATCTCCTGCAGCATGTATCAGTTTGTGTGCCGACACACCTCCATGCCATGCAACAAGACTGTCAAGCATCTTCTCTTGTTGTCTTCCTCTATCCCTCCTTCCAAAGATCTTTCCAGTGGTCACAACATGTTCTATTTTCCCTTTTCTCATAACATGGCCGAAAAATGATGACTGTCTCCTTCTGATGTCTGTGATAAGTTGTCTTCGGGCTGCCGCCTCTTTTCAAAACCTCTTGGTTGCTCTTTTTGGCTGTCCAAGGTATTCTAAGCCAAGAACCCCTGGGCTCTTTAAATTTGAAGACTAAAATTGGCGTACTTTTTTTAATTTAAACAGCTGCAGTGAAAAATTATCTCTGGCAAGCCAAGGATCGTGAAACTTGTCCTCTAGCCTTTTCATACCACCCTAAAAGGTGATGATTAAAAAAAGCATAGCATAGACTGATTTTTTTAAAGGGCAGTCACAATATAGCAAGTAAATCTAGTGATGCCTTACTGCTACTGCATGTGTCAGCACTGTATTTTACATACAAAACATGAGATGTGCCTATATTCAATCTGTGCTAACATAACACTTATGTGTCTTGTCGATGAGGGGAAAAAAAAGGAAGCGAAAACAGAGAAAAACTCATCAAACGTATAATCATTTTTCCAACATCAGAGCTGAACTTCAATCATGTCCTGTCATAATCTTGTAAATTCAACATGTAACTTCAACCAAGTCTTATCTATTATACTCTTGAGAATTCAGTAAGTAACATCAATATAGTCTGATGATAGTCATGTGAATTCAGCAAGTAACTTAATCAAGTCTTAAAATAATCTTGTGAATTTAGTAAGTCTCCTTACGGATAAAAGAGGACATGAAAGAAATAAAATCAGCAGAAATGGATAAACTGATTTCGGGAGTAAATAAAAGATCAATCTTTTCCTAAGTTATGAAAAGTACAAGGAAAGTGTTTATTTATTTTATCTCATGAGGTATCAATAGTAAGTACACTTTCATAACTACACCAATAACACTTAACTTGTCACTAGATAGGGTGATGCTGCCGCTTTCATATTATCTATGGCAAGTTTCTCATACTCTCATAATTATAGTAAATATATTCATTATCTTTTGGAAGTTATTGGGATGTTAGTGTACTTTTATAACTACACCTTGTCAGCTAACTACACTATGTAAGCAGTGGCAATTTTCTCTTCAAAAGTTATCAAGATGGTAAGTAACTTTTATCACTACACTGTTAGTACTCCATAACATTTAGTGGTGATCATTGTTCACAAATTGTCTTTGGCAGATTTCCCAAACCACCATCATTACAACTAAAGACAATTCAGAGATTATGTTCAGGCCCAGAATCTGTTTGACTTTCACAGCTCAGTCATCAGAGTCACCTTCCTCTCCACCTTCTTCTGAGATGACGACCAGGGTGACACGTGTGAGCTTCGGGTGCTGTGGTAAGATGAAGTGCTGTCTGTCCTAGCCCTTTCAACTGTGATCACATGACTTGCTGAGCTCGTCTTGGAACCTGCCGATGTCGACACTTTCCTTGTGACTGGTTCAGTTCTCGTAAATGAAGTTTCCTAGAGAAAGTGGATAGGAATGCAAAGATATGATTGTTACAAGCATGTACGCCTAGTGAATTAGTAATTCTTCACTGTCCATTTTATGACCCTGGACACTTTCTTTAACACAACAGACTGACATGATTCTTGCATTATGCTTAAACAAATACATACCAGCAGCAAGCAAAATTATCAGTAGTAAAGAAATGTTAGCTTAATGCACCTTATCTTAAGATTGGTCAGACTTTAACATATAGTCGTATTTTCATACTTAGCCATTTCATATGAACTGTTACACTATATATAGTGGCCTGGTTTTCCGAATTCCAACCATGTCACCCAAGAAAGCTAAATCTAGTCACTTCCGGCTGTGACATAGCCTCCTAAATGCCAATATATGGTCATTTCCTTAGTGACCTGTTCTTGAAAAGCGTAGTTAAATGCCACTGGTTCTATGTGCATCTACACAGTGTTTACAAGCCCTGAATGTGGACATGTTAACTTAAAATAGATTTAGAGGTGTTCCTAATGAATCCAATAGCATTTAAAAAAAAAAAAAAGCTAAATTGGCTTAAAATTTTCCCATTATCTTCAGTGATAGAGATCATGAGGTCACATAATTAGTCACCTGATACATTTTTGTTTTAGACCCTGAGCCCACAGCTTCACTGTGTACTTGTTTATTGATTAATCCTCTCTTGTTCTTATGTAGATAAATACATGCTTGTTTTTACATTTTATTTTTATTTTTTAGAAATCTCACATGGGTTTACTGCCCATTATTTTAGCATTCATTGATGAAAGGGTTATGAAAGAGTTAAGTTTCAGTTAGCAGGTATTGAACATCAGTATAGTAGTATAGATACATCTATATAAAGCTCAATGGAAGCAAATGGAATATGGATTAGCAAACAAGATCACATCAGACAGCCTTTACTATATTATAAAGTAGCCCAGTGGCCATACTGGACAGTCAGAATGTTAAGAAAGGGCTTATGTACAGTAAGCAGTTAAATGTCAACATAATACACAGATACTTATGAAGCTCAACAGAATCAGAGTTTGGATTAACAAAAATTTTTATTTTAGACTAATCTGATAATTTTTTAAAAATCAAGTAGCTCTGAAGGTTTAGCAATTAGTGCATTTGCCTGCTAAGGCAGTGGTTTGGGTTCCAGCCTCATAAAAATTAGCAGCAGACAATTTTATAAAATTTTATGGAAACCTGGATGATACAGCAGTGAAGAGGGGAATGACCACCTTGATGTATTTGTCAGTCTAAAATTTATGGAAGACTAAAACTTTACAAATTTATGAATGCTTAACACTTCGCACACTTTGCGCTGATTCTGAGTGATATCAAGAGCTGAATGTCAGAAAGCAATGGCAAACTATTGAACTTAAAACTGCCAAGTAAAACTGAATGGCCAACAAATGCTGGGGTTGTTTCTGCAACTCCCTGTAAAGGATACACAACTTATTAACACTTAACAACTCAACAGCAGCATTTGATTTAGGATTACCATTAGCTTTGTTTTTATTTTTTTTAATTTGTGATTATAGTTAGCAAAACATTTACTGAACTTATCTATAAGCTGGGAATATAAATATATAAATAGAATGAAGACGTGTGGAAGTATGATAACGTGTGCTTCATGTACTCATGTACACAATTAATACAGCTTGTCAAATTGTGTACTTACACAAACAAATGTAATAATTAATAAATATTCAATGTCACTATAGGTATATATTAAGCCTTATTAAAGATGGTTACAGTAAAATCATATGGTAGCAATGCAATAAATACAATCAGAAGGTAATGGAAGTTAACTGAAGCACTGCATTACACATAAATAAAGAACAGGTATAGACATGTTAGTGCACATCATTTCTTCATGCAAAAGGAACAACATAAATGCACACATTCAAGATGGCTTGCAATTATGGCACAACAATCATGCAGTTAATGTACACAATGAACACAACTGGAGACGCAGTAGTACAAAAACACATGCAGATATCAAGACATGCAGAAATTCAACTCTATGATGAACATATGATTTTCTGTAAATAATAGGACTGATCATAGGAGTACAGGAGATGAACTGGAGAACACATGCAATGATGTAACATAATAGCATATAAAACAGGTTGATTACAACTACGAATATATTATACTGCATTTATATATTTAAACATATATATATATATATATATATATATATATATATATATATATATATATATATATATATATATATATATATATATATATATATATATATATATATATATATATATATATATATATATATATATATATATATATATATATATATATATATATATATATATCATTCATGATACATACAAAGTGAATTCTACTGAGTTCATATGCAATGCTTCAACTTTGTAATTTAAAGAAAACAATTAGACTTAAATTACAAGTTTAACCCTTTCCTTTGTTTTCAAGAGCTTAAAATCAACTGAATTGAGAATATCTTATGAAACAAATTAAGCATGTCTATTAATCAAACTATGGGTAAAAGGGAACATTAATGTTGCATACAACTTTCCACTTGCAAATCATGCTCCTTTACAAATGCAATGTGGTCACACAAAAAAACCTGGCAACAGTCAAGCAAAATGTTGGTTGTTACCAATGTTACGGAAGAAAAATTTGGCCTTCTCTGGCAGTTTATATTTCAGTCCAAGCTCAAGCCCTGTAGAGAGTGTTTTCATTTTGTACATCATAACTGTCAGTTACTGCAATGTTAAAATTATGGTTGTGCTGCACTGTGGCTTAGAGGCTGGTGAAATCGTTTCAGAATGCATTTCACGCTATTTAGCAGGGTTTGATTGTCATGGTGGGCAGTTAAAAAAATAAACTATTCTCACAGCCTTTAGACAGTGGTATAAGAGTTGCACCATGAAAGAGATTGCGTCTCACCATGTTATATTGCTAATATGTGAATACAGTGCCGCAAACCTCTACTGCTGATAATGCTCAATTCTTCTTCTTTTTTTTCGTTTTTTACATCAATAAAGAACAATAACTCAAAGCTTCATATCATACACTGAAGACCTGGCAAATGCTACCAACAGAAATAACAACAAATTGTTATTGTAACACCAGCAGAATGTAAAGTATTTTATAAATATTTCTTCAGTGTTAATTATTTTAAAATATGACTATTAAATTTGGTTTTTGTTAATATTAAAATGCCACTTGCCTGATAAATTTCTGTATTGTAAATGGGATTTTAATGTGAATCTTTCAAATGAATTCTCTTCTTTTAATATCAAATTAAAATGAAACACTGTTTTATATATGCGTCGGTTCTGTGGCTAAGTCGATGCGAACGTTTCGTAATGCCAGGTTCGATCCCAGCTGCGGGCCTTGCGCTGGTTTGGACAGTGGTACCAAGAAAGATGACCGTCCAGAAAGCAATGGCAAACTACTGGATGTAAATTTGCCTAGAAAAACAAAACAACAGCCAGGGGCTGTTGGGGTTGATTTTGCAAAGTCCTGTAAAGGATACGCAACTAACCTTTTTATATATGCATGCATATATTTTACTAGATGGAAGATGTGCAACAGAGATTAGGAGCAGGAAATGCCAAGTAAACATCGAAGATGAAAAATGTATTATGTAACAGATCTTTCTTTTTTTATAAGAAAAAGAGTATTGAAATGTTATGTTGAACCAGTGCTGCTATTTGGCTTTGAATCTAAGAATGTGAACGAACAAATTTAGGAATTCAAAGGCCACAGAGATGTGGTTTCTAATATGCATGCTACAAATACTGTGGATAATCAGAGTGCTTAACAATGAGCCAGAGTTATTAACAATGAGCCAGAGCGATTAAAAAAGAGCCAGAGGGATTAACAATGAGCGCCTGGAATAGCTAATGAAATAAGAAGACTATATACAACTATAAGAAACAGCCAGTCAGTGTTTTTAGTTGTGTGATGAGATAAGAGGCACTGGAATAACATCACGATGACTGGAGAGATCAACGGTGTTAGAGACAGATGTCAAGCAAAAGAGATGATGCTTGACGGCTCAAATAGATGACAGGTGGAATATTATCAGCAAAACTGATTCAAAATACCAAAGACAGAAATCTATGCAGAGACCAGAGCCCTTTACACCACTGGTGAGGCACATAATGACGATATAGTTTACAAAGAAAAACCCCTACAAACACGTAAGAAAACTTTAAATATTTCATATTCCAGCACCGAAGTTCACATGCATACTGCAATAATGCCAGCCTGCATGCCTGCCAACCTGAAGTCATGTCTGCAAAAATTTCTTAAAGCAGGCATTCAAGTACAACCGACCTAGGCTCCCATGATGATCAAGCCTAAAAACGGGTACCAGGAAATTCCTGGGAAGCAAAGGTGACCTAAATGCTACTATTCACATCATCCACTGAGTGCTTACTGATTTAGAAATATAAACACCAACAACCATATATCCAATATGCCTCAAGTCTATGAAACAAGCGTTGTTTACATCAGTGTACATATTAGTCACATTAACATATAGGGTGCAGACAGCTTGAGGCTATCCCAGATGTGGAGAATTTCTGTTGTGAAGAAAAACTATTTATTCCTGGCAATTTTTCTTGCTTGAATTATTATTTGAATAGAAGAAATTATATTTTGTATAACAAGAACAATTTTTGTTTCTCCCCGGTGAGTTCTCCTTATCAGGTCTGCACTGTATAATTTGTTTCATTGTGTGTCATCTCCACAACGAAGGCTGGCTACAGTTTACCCACTGCTACCTTTAAGATTATTATTCGGTGAGATTCAAATCTCTTCCACAGTGCAACTCTTGTGCCACTATCTGAAAACCATGGCAGCTGTGCTTTTAAAAATTAAACCCTCTGCCACCAGTAATTGAGCATCACTTAATTGTAAACACGAATTCACTAGCCTATAAGCTTTAGAGCAGCATATGTATGCACTGTGTAATGATTAATGTAACTGTTTCGGTCATATACACTGGATGCTAGACAGACGCACTCCAAGATACTTTCTGTAGGTGGTTCACAAAGAAGAAGAGGCAAAGTAGAGAGGGGACACAAAAGTGTTGGGTACAGACACAAAAGTGTTGGGTATAGACAAAAAACACAAAGAGAAAATCAGTTATTTCTGGTGTTGGACAGCCTGAGACGTGGAATAGAGGAAGATTATCAAAAGAACTGACATGGTACACTGACTTGTGAAAAAATACAAACACTTATTTCAGTTAGCAAGGCCTGTAGAGCATGAGACAGACCAAGAACCAGATGGACAAATAATATAAGAGAAATGGTGCAACAGTATGATGTGTCTGTGGTCATGCAGACAGGAGAGCAAGGAGCAGAACTTTTCTATCTCCCTTGACATCCAAAGTGGTAAAAGATGTGAAGAAGAAAGCATAGAATTCTAGCAGTGGCATTGAAAGGAATAATTCTGAAGCAATGAAAGAAGAAGACTACACAGAAAAAGAGCTCCCAAAAAAAGGGAGGGGGCAGGAGCGATGCTAGCCTCGGCACTACTTAGTCAAAGATTTCGTCATAGCCAGATATGACTGAACATGACTAGTGCTCATAGATCGCTAAAAACCCTTAAGGTCATCGGATGATTTTTAAAAAACAATTAACTATTCTACTGATTAGCACTCATAGATGGAGAATAGAGGAAGAGAGATAAAATGACACATTGACCAGACATGTCAAACGTGTGGCCCATGGGCCACATGCAGCACACCTGTCGTGTGCCTGCAATAAAAAAATTATGAAGAATTTTTATTACATGACTGTAATTAGCTGTTATGCATGGCCCTTATGACAACACACATGTAACTCATGTGAATCGGGTTGGGGGGGGATGGGGAGGGGGTTAATTTGACATGCCCTTACCAGGCAGCACAAAAATTAAAAGCTTAGCTACCATAAAAGAGTCGAAATTTCAATTAAAAAAATTGCAATCAACCTGGTACCATCACTACAACTGCAAAATTGTCAGCTGTCCAGTTTCCTCTTGGCTCCACTTCTTTCTCATGCCTATATGAGTGCTAATCAGTACACAGTTTGTTTATTGTGATAACCTCAAAAGCTTCATAATGACTTTTATATATATATCAGCCGCTAAAAGCCTAAAAATACACTTCGGAGGGGAACTGAGAACTAGACTTAACAATTCAATGAGCAGTGAAATCGATCTGTCAATTAACTACGTAGTAATGAGTTTATGCTAATCTGCATGACTTTAAGTTACTTGTCTTTCCAAATCAAACATGAGATTTCTCAAAGCAGGAAAGATGACAAAGGAGTTGTTATAGAATATGTTCAGCTCAGCATATTTTCCTATGGCAATATGTTCTATGTAATATCTATAACTGTACAGTTTACAACAGTGTTTAATATGAATACATATTTCCTTATAAGAGAACTACAAACTAATTAATTACCTGGCTTCTTCAGATTATAATATCATGAGTACATTATCAACATAACAAACTAATTACATCTCTAATGTGAGTTAAACAATGTAACACTTAATTATCAGGAGCTGTTAATATCAAAACATAACAATAATATGTTATTATTAAAACATTATTAAATTAACACTGCTGACATTAATTAAAGGTGAAGAAATTCTTATGCTTAACGGTGAAAGAAATCACCTAAAAAAAAAAGATACTACCATCTACATTGTAACAATAAATGTGTTCTTTATTTTTTTAATTTGGAAAGTATAAAACTGAAAACATGACGGCAATTAAAAGAGTTTACAATAATCAAATGTAATTAAATAATTTATTTATTTAAAAAAAAAAAAAATACTTCATTGCTTCCTGGATCAAATATACAAAACTGCAGTACACATATAAACTGTAAAATAAGCTAAGCATATTTAAAGCTACACATGCAAAAGCTAGTCCTTAAATATGGTTTACATTCAACTCTTTTCTTTTTTCCAATTCTAACAGAAAATAAGAAGCAGAGAACCAGATGGCATCCCTACAAAAGCTATATGATTAACTGTTGGAACAGCATTTCAACTGCTGGGGACACTTACAACAATGGTTACTGGTTCTGGAGTCTTTGGCAATGCTGCTCCTCTATCTGGGCTGATGTCCTGTGTATTTCCTTTGCTGGGAACAGGGGAAGGAGGGGGTGGTGGCGGACGAGTCTTCTTTAAGCTAAGTGTTCCTTTGGATGGCTGGTCTGTGGTTCCAGTCTTTGGTTTCTCAGATGGTTCAGGAGGTAACACCCCTCCAGAAGAGTAGAACCTTGGTGCAGGAACTTTTGGTGGCATACTCTGCTTACTGATGTCATTGTCCACTGCTGATTTGGGTTCCTCATCCTCTTCATCCTCTCCAAAAGGATTAACTGAAACTTCAGTTCCTTCATCACTTTCATCATCTAACTGGAAAGGATTTACTGGTTTCTTCTTTGAATCATCAGCATCATCCAAAGAGATGCCATCCAGCTGCTTCTCTTGCTGCTTTGTTTCTGCCTTCAACCTCAGAGAACTTGACTTTGCTGAGCTCAGTGGAGGTGGCTTTGAGGGTCGTTCAGGTAAAAATGGATTTGTGGAAGCCCTCAGAGAACCACTTGACTGTGGCCGCGCATCAGCTGCCACCTCCAAGCTTTCCACAATGCCAGAAGTACGAGGTTTTGGAACTGGACCTGGAGAAATGGGTCTTGGCGGAGGAGCTGGTCTAGTTAAAGACAAGGTCTTAGAAACTTCAAGTGCTGGCACAGAGCTCTCTGCTGGATCCTTCATTTTGGGCAAAGTCTTGGGCTTGCGTAACTGTGGGGGTGATGGAGCAGATGGCTGTGTAGGGGGTTCATGAGGGGAGGTTGTAGCTGCACTTGAAGGAATTGTCTCCTGTTCAATGGAAATGAATGATTATGTGGAGAGAAGACAGACATATATTTCTTGAAGCAGAGAGAGAGAGATAACAAACAGCAAAGACCAAAAGCCAATTTAACATCTATTAAAATTATGAAAATTAGCGATGACGACAAAACAGATTTCTGTGAACATATAAAATGAATAAACAGACATTTTCTAGGTAGATTTAAAAACTAGTAATCATATATATATATATATATATATATATATATATATATATATATATATATATATATATATATATATATATATATATATATATATATATATATATATATATATATATATATATATATATATATATATATATATATATATATATATATATATATTAATGCACACAATTTTGTTCTTTTCTTTGGATATGTTTTCCTGTCCTTGATTATGAAATACAGATTTGTTAATGATTAGCTTTGAGAAATCTAGCATGTTTGCACTGAAAAGACACACTGATATCCTAAAAGATCTGAACATCAAGAAAGATTGGTAAGTAACCAGCTTTTTTGTTCCTGACACTGAAATATTTTGACCATATCAAGTTTCACAATCTGAAAAAACAGTAGCAGAAGGTGCAGGTCCAAGAAAGAGGATCAGGGGCCAACCAGCACAAAGATAGGAACATGATATAAGTGACACACTGTGTAGGAAAGTACATGGGCGAGATCAGACAGCTGGCAAAAGATCAAGTTTCTCTCAGGTAGACTTTCATAAGAGTGATTTCTGCAAAAGACCTTCTAAATAATGTTAGCATCAATTGTACCCATAATTAGAGCACTAAATAGAGATCCCATTTTTAAGCATTAAGGCACAATTAGTCAGTGTCTCTGACTTAGGAATTGTAAACACAGGTTGTAATTTCAAGATACCAGGTTCAATAACATCTTTATGCAATGTGACACTGCACACTGCACTGTTTTTGGCAAGCATATTGAGAACCAACTGCTCAGAGAGTAATGGCAAACTACCAAATATAAAATTACCTAGTAAAATCCCTTTACAAAATGCTGTGGTTAGATCTGTAAAAGGGTACTTGAGTCATACAGCTAGCCCTACATTTCAACAGCAATCTGCAGCAGTGTGCTTCACTCTACTGCCCTTGACATTTCCTGTTACCAGTGTTAGGCTGGCTAAACTTGGTAGTGAGACAAGGACAATTCTGACAATCATCTTCAATGGTGCATTAGTGCATAAGATTTTTTCACTTTACAAAATGTAGTTTTGGCCTATTGTTTTCTGTTTTTTATCTCTGTGATACATCTTCCAACAGATGTTATCCTTCTTCCTAGATACTCTATGTCATCATCGTGTAGCAGGTCCTTTGCAGAACGTCGCTCTTATCACAGTCTGCCTGAAAGAAACTCGGTCTCTCGCTAGTTCTCCTGCCTCATATACTTTCATACTCAAGGAGTCACTTATATCCTGTGCCCATCTTTGTGTCGGTCGGCCCCTGCCCCTCCTTCCTGGTACCATGCCTTCTGCTATAGTTTTTTTCCAATCCGTTGTGGCGCATGATATGACCAAAATATTTCAGCTTCAAAGAAAGGATGCTGTTTATTAGCCAATCTTCCTTGATGTTCATATCTTTTAAGATGTCAATATTTTTCCTCTTTTTTGTCCAAGATATTCTGAGAATCTTTCTATAGCATTTCAGCTCAAAGCCCCTATTCTCTTTCTTAAGGACTGAGAGACAGTCCACGATTCACATCTGTATGTAGCCACAGGGAAGATGCATGCTCTCAAAATTCTAATTTTTATCTCCTTGCTGGTGCTAAACCATAGACTTTTAAGGCTGTTCAATCTTTGCATTGCTATGGCCATTCTCCTTTTAATTTCTGTCGAACAGTCTCCATTGTTGTTTATTATAGAGCCTAGATATTCAAAGTTTGTGACATTTTCAATTTCTTCATCATTTATTGTTATTTTTGGGTGACAGCCAGTTTTATCTGTGAACATTATTTTCGTTTTCTTTAAATTCAAGAACAGATTTTGATCTTCACTGTGCTTTTGGACAGACAATATTAAATTTTTGATTCCCTTTACGCTGTTCGAAAGGAGCACTGTGTCATCTGCGTAGCGGAGTTTCGGAATAGGGTTGCCACCAATTTTGAGCGGATAGATACTCTATGTATGTACTTGACCTAAAATAACATCTTTGACTTTTGTTAAATACTTAGGCATTATTCTTTTCTTGGAAATTACCAACTCTTCTGTCTTCCCATTATTGAAACAAAGATCCATTTTATCACTTTCTACCACCACAGTATCTATTAATTCGTGTAGATCTTTATGCCTTACCCCTATCAAGACGGTGTCATCAGCATAAAATAGGTTGTTTATGTCATGACCACCAACCACAATTCCTGGCATATCCATGATTGATCTAATTAAATATTCACTGTATAATGAAAACAAATCAGATAGTACTCATCCTTGTCATACTCCCCTCTACTGTTTTCTGTTAATAGGTTAATTGTGTTTCCTTTACAGAACGTCGCAGAACCAACCCTAACAGCCCCTGGCTGTTGTGTGGTTTTTCTAGACAAATTTACGTCCAGTAGTTTGCCATTGCTTTCTTGGCGGTCGGCTTTCTTGATACCACTGTCAAAACCAGCGCAAGGCACATGGCCCGCAGCTAGAATCGAACATTATGAAGCGTTCGCATCGACTTAGCCACAGAGTCGACTTTCTGTTAGTACATGCTCTTCATCAGTTCCAATGTTTAACTTTTCCAGTAGTTTGATTCTTTCTTCATGCTTCACACAATCAAATGCTTTCTATAGCTCTTTCCAACAGTCCTGACGATGTATATGACATGGTTTGTACCTTCTACAAATCCATTTTCCTTACTAATATTAATAATAATAATAATTTTTAATTTTATTATATATATATATATATATATATATATATATATATATATATATATATATATATATATATATATATATATATATATATATATATATATATATTATATTTGAGAAACAAAAATAGATATGGTTTATTGTTCATTTGTATGAACTGACACGACTGAGGATAGGTCAACTGAAGAAAAAAAAAAGCTATGTGTGTGTATATATATATATATATACACACACACATATATATATATATATATATATATATATATATATATATATATATATATATATATATATATATATACACACACACACACACACACACACACACACGCACACACACAACAAAGCAGCAGTGGATGTTCACCAAATGACAGAAACTGACAAAACAAACACACAAAAAGGAGACAAAGCTGAGCATCAAACAAAAACTGAAAAAGAACATAAAGCTAAACAATAGTGAAAGCAAACATACAAACAACGTAAAGTGCAATTAAGCTTCAGGAAGACACGGTTCTGACTAAACATTCTCTTCATTAAATTTCACAAAGTTGCCAAAACACAGATGGTGAAAAAAAAAAAAAAAAGGAATGTGTAAGCATAATATGGTACACTCTAAAAAGAACATTCTGTTGAATTACTGCTTTTTCCTAAATGTTACATTCCTTAATCAAAAAGTAACGTCTGTGTAAAACAAGATTACCACTCTAGGAAACTTTTTGAATCATAACACCTTGAGAGAAAAAGGCAATGTGGCTTTGTACTATACTGACATAAGACAGTTTTAAAGCTAAATATTGGCAGCTGACCATATCTTAATGCTTGAAAAGAAAACTAGTTATTTTTTTCCAATGTGTTTTTTCCCCCATATTATATTTCCTGTTCAGTGTGTGGAGTTAAACCAAACATGTAATTAAAATAAGAAAAATAAGAGGGGGAGGGAGGAGGAGCGAGAAATAAGATGGAGAGAAGGAGACAGCGGGAGAGCTGGCAGGACAGAGAGAAAACAAAGAAGGGAAGGAGGAAGGGATAGATGGGGAGAGGATAGAGAGATGGGGGGAGAGAGAAAAAGAGAAAGAGAGAGAGAGAGAGAGAGAGAGAGAGAGAGAGAGAGAGAGAGAGAGAGAGAGAGAGAGAGAGAGAGAGAGAGAGAGAGAGAGTAGAGTGAATAAAGTTCAACACCGCCAGGACCCACACAACGAGTGATAAACACACTGATGCAAAGTGCCACCATTTGGATGAGAAGTACCCAGGTGCAGGTCCCAAAAACCCTGCTCAACTGTTAGGTTATATTGGGGTTCCCAACAACAACCGGAGTGGTGCTTTAATATAACCAACAATTGCATACTATATTGAGACAGCAAGAATGGACTTGGGAGATAGAGAGCTAGACACACATTTTGTATAGACCAGTCAACACTCATGTGGCCGAAACCAGGCCAGCTGCCTTTACTTCCCAGGACATTCTGTTCTACCAATTTAAGGGTAGGCTGGCTTCTTCAATATGGATGCAAAGAAGATATCCGAGCCCAAGCGTCTAGTACTGATGATACTATTCTATAAAAATTCACATCACGCACTAAAGGCAAAGGCTTGAATGTGTGCTAACTGCCTTATTAATTCTCTAGTATACACATTACTCCTGCGATGACATAAGAGCACAACTCACAGCCTCTACTGGTCGAGCATAAACAGGGATTGTGTGTCAGGTCTTACCATAAAGCTAAGTAATTATATGCATTCTGGTTTATAATTGTATCACTGACCATTTTAGTCACATGCTGATGAAGGCTTTCTAGCTGCAATATAAATATTTTTTCATGATAATGGGATTAGGAAGCTAGCTAGTTCTAGTTTAAACTGATGTTTTTTCCATATTATATACAGCTGCCACACACTCCCAAACAATATCCTTATCAGGCAGCATGCCCTTTGCAGAACATCACTCACATCAAAGCCTGCCTGAAAGAAACACTATCTCACCAGATCTGCCTCATGCACTTTCCCACCCAAGCTGTAAATCCTGTGCCCATTTTCATGCTGGTCGGCTCCTGCACCTTGTTCCTGGCAACACGCCTTCTGCAATTGTTCTTTCCTAACCACCATGGCGCT